ATAAGTGTAACATTGGACATTCAAAAAGGTTTATTAAAAAAATAATATCTTCGACTTGTGTGTTGAGCGTTACATAGCAGACAGGAATGTATTGAATCAAAAACTGTATACTATAGGAATTAGACGATTTTTCTTAAATTGGCTGCTATCCTACATGGAAAACATGAGAAACGAAGTGAAACTAAATGGCACAGTATCCGATGTATATATATCCTGTTGAACATGGTGTCTCACAGGCATCTCTTTTAGTCCTGCTGGTATTTATGTCGTAGGGCTTACCCAATCATGTCGCTGAGGGACATATAACAATTTTTGCAAACGATACTACAATCTACATCAGAATATACATTTCTTATACTTTAGAATAGCGGACGTTCACGCTATCAAAATTGAGCTTTTTTATACAATAAATCGCTTACAATTCATTAATTAATCATCAAACTGGGTATGTTATATCCACTTTCTTATTGGGCTATAGTAGGCGAAGATTCTTACCAGAAAGAAACACATTTTTGCCTCATTAATGAGGGCACTACATAACTTACACCTGTAGCCATTTTCAAATAATGGCTCGACATGAAAAAAGGTTTTTTCTATTACGGGAAAAAGGTTTGACAGTTTATATCTGTTAACATTTAACAAAATGTCACTTTTCTTTCCTAGGAAAACAATCCCGGATATTGTAAAGCGATTTAGCTGGCAATAATTTTCCTACTTCTACTAATTCCGTTGGAGTCAAAGAAAACTCGGAATCAGGCATTTTTTACTTTATAGTATTAAAAATAACTTCTAAACAACCACTAAGTACACAATTTTTAAATCAAATCACAAAATTAAATTGACAGCTGTTTGATTACTTTAAAAGTTTCCCTAGCAACGCAGGTCTAATTGTCGCTATAAGCACAACCATAGCCTACTAACTTCAAAATTCAAATTTCACATCGATAATTTTATGACTTAAATATTGTAATAATATAATTTTTCAATATTAAGGCGTCGTTTTTCCCGACACAGAAAAAAATTACATCATCAAACTAACTTACATGTAAGTGATGTTCAATCTTAACTATATGAAGTCCTCGTCGAAGTAAATATTTAGAATACATATTGTAGTACCCTCGTAGTAGTACCCAACCACCACGATTTCAAAGCGCGCACGCAGAGAAGGAAAGCGGCATCGCGCCCCTTCGAAGTAAATATTTAGAAGACATATCGTAGATGTTCAAAGCTAGTTGTAATAACATACTAACGCTCTGTACTAGTAAACCATATGTTGTACACAACTACACAAATTGTACGCAATGTATGTGTCAAATAAATGTACATTTTCATTGTAACAATTCAAGTTAGGGCTTTTAGCAACAGGTAATGTGACGTGCCTGGTTTAAAAATTACCATTCATTTCATGGTTATGAGCAAATAACGTAATAAGGGCGGCGACAGGTGCAGCTCTCACTCTGTTTCCGCGTCCCACTGACGCAAAAGCTCATTTGCACCAGTATTACTCCTAGATTTTATATTTGACGCGTGGACAGTAAGATTTCTGTCTTTACACAATTGCCGTAGTTTTCCCGCAACCTGGTCCAGACGTGGAAACCAGAAGCTCTATATTTCATTGATGTACGAGTAGGCTCGAGTATAGTATGCGACAGTCCATCAATTCGGTAGCAAAGCATTCAACACAGAAGAAAACTACCAGTTGTTCTTGATGATCAGCATGCGGGACCTTCTCAGGTGACCAAAAGCTACAGACTCCTCCCTGGCCAACGAATGTCCCAGTCCGAGAAATTATACAACATAAGATTGGATAACTCAATACCTCTGACCGCATCTGCCACATAAGGCGGTATAATTTACCCTAAACAGTACAGTCTGTATTGGAGGAGCTGTCCCTTGAATATGAATCTGACATATATTCTTTCCCTAACGGGTACTAAAATCCCTGCATATTCCAAACCCAGATTCGTTAAAAGTCTGATCCCAGTTCAATAGCTTAGACTTAAGTGTTATTTCCTTATAAACAAACAGTCTTGAGGTAAGGAATCAAACGTGTTGACCCATCAGACTTGGGGGCAAGAAAAAGTTGGATAGGTGCTGGTTTTTAGTTAGCTTTTTTACTGATAGTACCGCAGCTAAGTAATTCATAGATGGACTAATGAGATTCATCTATGGCAAAGTGCTAAACCAGTCGCCATTTGAATGGCAAGTGACCACTTGAGTCCAACTCAGGACTTTAGCGGCACTCCTAAAGCTCTCCCATTGATAATGAATACGCGTTAATGACCATGCTGATCTACACCTCATCTGCAATAGTGGGGTGATGTTATCAGTACGTTGTCTGGCCTTTTGGCCTTCAGATGCTGCTCTGTTTATCTGATTTCTATTTAGAATTGACTTACTTGGTCAGACCTACAGCGAAGAGCAAGATATCACTGGAAGCCTCTGTCAGAGTACTCCTGAGTTCTTTGCTTTAATGTGAATATCTGCCATCATGCACTCATCTCCCTTCTTTTACCTGTTGCTGTACACAGTCCAAGTACGCATCCTTGCGTGCGACAATTTCTATTACGGCTTCCCTTACCTCAGGGTTCACCTTAAGTGGCTAGAATAGAACATAATTTATTCATCTATCGTCATCAAGATTTGCAGTCGAAATGTCAGCCTTGGAGCAACGCGCGAACATTAATTATATCAAGGTCGCCGGATCATCGTGGTGATGCGCCATCTATTGAAACAGACTACATGGCCTTTAAGACAACACAATCCAGAGCGCCCTGCTGTTCGAGTGCCACCTATGCAAAATGTAACGTTAATCGGGTATAATGATATTTAACTTCCGTGATTACTGAACATTAGATCTTTGGTAGTTTCCTAACTGGAGATGTTCATACGTACAGTCCTGTTCCATAGTTATCACCAGCCATGTGGAATTTGCTGTCACGAGCAAAATGTAATGCTAGTCTACCATAGATGTACCTAATTTCTATATGTTGTTAATGAAAAATAGTACTTCAGCTGTCTCGTAACCTGTCATGTGCATATTATTGACCTGTTCTGTGGCTATTCCAAACCATATGGAATTTGCTATTACAAGCAAAATGGAATGCTATTCTACTATAGATGTTCCTAATTTCTATATGATGTTAATGAAAAATAGTACTTCAGCTGTTTCGTAACCTGTCATGTGCATTTTATTGACCTGCACGATGGCTATTCCAAACCATAAGGAATTTGCTATCACAAGCAAAATGTAACGCTAGTCTCGGATAGATATAACCTAATCTCTATGTGTTATTAACGAAAAATGGTACTTTAGTGGTCACCTAAACTGTGATGTGCATTCCGAGAAAGATATTCCAAGGTTATCACAAACCAAACGAAGTTTGCTATCACACGCAAAATTTAACGCTAACCTCGCATAAAGTGCCTACTCTGTATCTGGTGATAAGAAGAAGATAAGCATTGGCGGCTTTCTAACCTGACATGTTCATACTTACACACCTGTTCCACGGTTATCACAAACCACTGGAATTTGCTATCACAAGCAAAATGTAACGCCAGTCTCGCATAGATGTAGCTAATCTCTGTCGCTCATTAATGAAAAATGGTACTTCGGCTTCTTCCTAACTTCTCATGTGCATCCTTACAATATAATTCCATAGTTATCACAAACCAGATGGAATTTGCTATCCCAAGCAAAATGTACCGCTAGTCTCACATAGATATACCCAACTTTTATCTGTAATGAATGAAAAATGTTATATTGCTACATTGCTCTCACAAACCAGATAGAATTTGCTATGCCAAGCAAAATGTACCGCTCTAGTCTCACATAGATATACCCAACTTTTATCTGTAATGAATGAAAAATGTTATATTGCTACATTGCTCTCACAAACCAGATAGAATTTGCTATGCCAAGCAAAATGTACCGCTCTAGTCTCACATAGATGTACCCAATTTTTATCTGTTATAAATGATAAATGCTATATTGCTACATTGCTATTACAAACTAGATAGGATTTGCTATCTCAAACAAAATGTAACGCCAGTCTCGCATATATGAATCTAATCTCTATTTGTTATTAATGAAAAATGGTACTTCGTAGTTTCCTAAACTGTCTTGTGCATTCTTATTAAGCTGTTCCAGGATTATCACAAACCAGATGGAATTTGTCAACACAAGCAAAATGTAACGCTAACCTCACATAACATACCTAATCTCTATCTGGTAATAAGGAAAACATATATCTTAACAACTTCCTAACCTACCATTTTCAAACTTACAGTCCTGTTCCATGGTTATCACAAACCAGATGAAATTTGCTATCACAAGCAAAAGAGAAAATCTTGTTGACCATACCTTGTTGCTACGTTATCATAAACGCTTTCAGTGTTGTTATTTGTGCAACGAAGTTCAGTATTGAGTCATTTTTCCAAACATCTTCATTCGTCCTTGGCGTGGACTATCACAAGCTAGGTCCATGTTGCTATCCCAAGCAACCGAGTCTAATGCTTCCACGTTATCCCAAATGTCTTCGTTCATCCTTGGTATGGAGCTGACTATCCCAAGCCAGGTCGGCGTTGCTATCCCAAGCAACCGAGTCCAATGTTTCAGCGTTATCCCAAACGTCTTTGTTCGTCCTAGGTATGAAGTTGGCTACCACAAGCTAGGTCCAGTTGCTATCCCAAGCAACAGTGTCAGAACGTTATCCCAAACGTCATGCTAGGCACAATTTGCAGCACCGGTGAGGCATCCATACTAATATTCATTTAACTTCCACCTAAAACAGATCGGTTAGTTGCAGTTATCTGATGGTGACGCCAATTCAGAAAAAGAGGCCTGTACGCCAATTTCTAATTTTAGTCAGCGACGAAAGCAATCTAATGCGGGCCATTCACTAGACGGACCTGAACTCGGACGGCAACCGGGACCCGACTGACGACTCATCCACGTTTGTCAATACATTAGACGGAAATTACACGCATTCCAAGAATTATTAATGCTAGTAAAACCTCTGATAGAAAAGAAGAACACTTTATTCAGAGAAGCAGTAAGCGTTGAAGAACGTCTGTTGGCCACCTTGAGGTTTCTGGCAACTGGAAGGAGTTATGAAGACTTAAAGTTTTCTTGTATAATTTCTCCTCAGTTACTTGGAAGAATAATTCCAGAAACGTGTCGTGCTATATACAACTGCCTCCGGAAGAAATACTTATGTGTAAGTACAATAATTATTTTTTTCATATAATCTGATGCATATAAGAAACAGAGTGTTGAAAAAACTTTTATTATTTCAAATTATGTCTAACAATTAAAGATATGTGAATCAGTCTGTAATACTCGTAGTACCTTATCACTTCTTAATTATTTTGCCTGGGAAAAACAAAAAATTCTTCCATCACTTCCCTATTTGCAGACGCCTGATTTGGAGTTGTCAAAGTGGTAAAAGTTGGTACATCTGGTTGACGTGTATATGACGTGCTGGGTTCATTAAAGGTTGGGTTAATGGATGTTGTATACCTGGAGCATGAGTTTTGAAATATTTGTGCTTGCGGAACGCATGGGGCACTTTGATATGATGGTGGTTGGTAACCCAGGGAAATATGAGAAGAATGTGTGAGATTTCCCAATTTTGCATGGTATAGCACATCCTAAATCAGTTTTTGGGCTATTATCTTCTGTCCAACTGCAATATCCTGTAATTGTTGACCAGTATTTTTGCCAAATGTTATTTCTTGTGGTTCAAGAACATCCTGTTGCGGAGTTTCCAATACTTTTATGGAAGCATCCAAAAATTTATTTTTCTTCTGTGTCCAAGTTGTGCAGTTGAGAGTTCGCTTGTTACGGGAACTTGGTGTTGCACTTTGAGGAGCTTCAGGCGATAAAACTGATGATGAATCTAAATCTTGATCAGAATGTTGTGTGTATGCATCGGTTTCCTGCAATAAAATAGCTCACAGTTAACTTTGCCTCATATGATAGCTGTGTTATTTTTGGTTTCAGTTTCCATCAAAAGAAGAGGAATGGCTCAAAGTAGCAGAAGGATTTAACAATATGTGGCAATTTGAAAATTGCTTAGGAGCCGTAGACGGCAAACACATAGCTATCAAACAGCCCCCAGGAAGTGGTTCATACTATTATAACTATAAAGGATTTTTCAGTGTTGTGTTGTTTGCTATCGTAAATGCTAATTATGAATTTACTTATGTAAGTTGTGGAGCTAATGGAAGAATATCAGACGGGGGGGTCATTAAGCAAACAGATTTTTACAATTTACTGATAACAGATTCTTTAAAATTACCCCAACCAGTCAATATGCGAGGAATTCTAAATAAATTACCCTTTGTGTTTATTGGGGACGAAGCCTTTAGTCTAATGACAAATTTAATGACGCCATACAGACAAACCAACAGTATTGGTTATGAAGAAAAATGTTTCAACTAACGACTTTGCCGTGCCAGGCGCGTAGTAGAAAACGCATTCGGGATCATGGCAAATAGATTCAGGATTTTCCTAACGCCAATAGCTACTAAAGTGGATACAGTTGATGATATCGTTATGGCTTGCTGTGTTTTACACAACTTTTTACGCCGCAAAAGCACTTCTTACATACAACCTAGCAACATCGATACTGAAGACATTATCTCAGGGACTGTATTGATAGGTGATATGCACATGAATGGAGAACTAGAGAAAGAATATTATAATAATGCAGGTGAAGTTGACCTTCAACACAAATTTGTATATTAAGTTTAAGATGTATAGTATATGTGTTGAAATAAAATATCTGAATTATTATAAATATTGTCTTTTTAGATTATTTGTTAGTTAAAATATCTACTTACTGAGGCCTGTGATTGGTCATCTAGGTTGTTTCCTTCTATCGAAGAAACCGCTGCACGAGACTCTTCTTGATCCATCAGGAAAGACAATAGATCAAAATACCACAATGTAGGTTCTGGTACATCTTCTGTTCCCACCCCACTTCTCTTTGAACTATTAATTCGCCTTATCTGGCGTCGGAAAGATGACCGTAAGGACGATATTTTTTTGATAACAAATTTCTTGTTGGCATCTGAAAACATTTCTTTGCTTTTGTTAATTAAATTCTCATACGCAGCATTTTTTTTCTGTTTGTTGCGGTAATCTTGATGTTCCAAAGACAAGGATTTTCCTGGTAAAGTTGGATAAATTCCTCCCAAAAAGATTTATTATCTTCAAAAGACATTTTAATTTGAATTCCCTTCAAAAAATGCCTTGATACTTTCGTTGATCTCGGAAGAACTCTTTCGTCGCCGGACAAGTCTTGACAAGTTACACACACATTGTAAAAACAGCACGGATTGGTCGCGGTCGGGTCGTAGGTTCGGTATTCAAACAAGCGAACTCACAACCTGACCCGGACCGCTGTGCGACATGTCTTTCGATACCATATATTGGCGGATCGGTCGGAGGACAAGTCAGGACGAACCAATCCGTCACACCAATCCACTAATGAATGGGGGGCTTTAAGGCGACCGTCGGTCGGTATCTCGTTCGACAATGCACATCTATCGGCCAACCTTCTCTCCTGTTTTCTTATTCTAAATGTTCAGCGGATCCTTGACACTGCACTGCACGGAAACGAAGCATGCCTATTAACGTCTTGACCGTCGGGCACGAGAACAAGGAATGAAGGTTTATAGGCGGCCAGAGGGGAAAAAGGTAGGGGTAAGGGGCGCGGTGCCGCTTTCCTTCTCTGCGTGCGCGCTTTGAAATCGTGGCGATTGGGTACTACTACGAAGGTATTCTAAATATTTACTTCTACGAGGTCGGAACATAATTGTGTATTAGACACGGAAAAATAGTAGATTTTACAATACAACCTCAAGCTAAAATCTAGTACCTTTTCCCCTTGTATAATAAATAACTATGTTCTTATTAACGCGCTTATATTAGCTTGGCCTGTATGTATGTAACAGGATCTTTGAGCATAATTTTCACCAATTTTCAGAAGTTTGATTAATATGAAACTTCGCACACGTATCAATTGACATGTCCACACAAAAATAATTGATAAATCGAACTAAAATATGAAAAATAAATAATTGGTTAAAAAAACTAAAAAGAAATACGCTTTTACAGCTAATCGAACTAAAAAGTAAAAATAATTTTTAATTACAAAGAGTTTATATTACAGTAGTAGATGGTTTATATTAGATGGTCGAACAATCAATCATAATTATTGTCTTCAAAATAAAATAAAAATGAAATTTCTTTTATTAACAGAATAATTCAATTCAGAGTAAAAAGCATGGGGTACATTTTACTACATTTTCATAGCTCCTCTCATAGATAGTTGCCAATAGAATGATTGTAACATTTAATATAACAAGCACCCCACGCTTTTTTCTCTGAATCGAATTATTCGTAAATTTGATTATAATTTTATTTTGAGGTCATTAATTATGATTGATTGTTCGACCATCTAATATAAACTCTTTGTAATTAAGAATTATTTTTTACTTTTTAGTTCGCTTGGCTATAAAAGCGTGTTTTTTAGTTTTTTTAACTATTATTTATATCACAAGAAAATTCAAGTGAATGTATTAAAACATTTCAATAACGTGTTATTTCGCAGCCGAAGTCTATAAATATAGTGAGGATCCCAAAGAGAAACGTCTATGGAAACTGGTGATTCCAGCTAACGTGCCTTTCGTTTTCAGCTGCTAGGCTATCAAATATGTTATCCTCACTTCCTCGATGAACCCACAATATTAATTGAAGGTGGATCCAATTTAAACCAAGAATGAATGAAATATTGCCCGCGGCCGAAGGTGAGATTACTGCCAGGTCAATGGAAGGTATTTGACCTCCGACCTACATCGCAGGCATGTTAGCTGTTATCTTTCATGAGGTGGCGAGGATCCCGGCTAATCGATCTGTGAAATAGTAGGTGAGAGACGTTATAGATCAGTGAACAGAGTCTCTTAATAATTTTTCTTTCTATGATTACCCAGAAAAGATGGTACATAGTAAATGTACCACCCCTTCTGCGCTAGCATAGAACAGAAGCCATAATCATATAGCTCCCAGCAGCTCAGTTGGAGGCACGAGGCTCAAAAGTAGGCGGTGTATGGCAAAAGTTGACAATGACTTGGTGGGGAAAGAGAAAAACAGAGCACAACAAACTCTTGCACATTTGATTACGCAAAAGCATTTTTGAAGAAAACTTACAAACTGTAATCACTAAAAATATCATGGCTTGATATATACAGGCTGTTTGGAAGGTCGATACAAAGTCTTGAGTAGGTGATAGGGCAGACAATTTAGGATCTTTTAAGTCAAAAATTCCTTAGTTCAAGGTCTTACGGCTTTCGAGTTATTCGAGATTTTCGATTTTTATTGAAAAAAAATATGCCTTCTGTTCCTGCTATCACTAAAAGAACTCCAGGCTATATGAAAGAGCTTTTAAATACCTGACAGTGTGGTTTTTTCTCCGAAGCTATAGAAAAGAAAAACAAATTGACTGTAAACAAATAATAAATACATGTTTTCCTATTTTTGTGATACTTGCATGTTAAAACTAAATTCCGCACATTCTTGCTTTATTCCACTCCAAACAAGTCAATAGTAATTCATTAATTTCAGTCAAAAAACCCGAATTAATTAGTTTGTAAAATGGCCACCTTCATTAACGAAGAATACGCAGATATCATTTACATGTATGGCAGAGCAGAGGGCAAGAATGTCATGACCAGAAGCACGACGGTTGTACCAAGAGCGATCTCCTGGAAAAAGGTTGCCTAATGAGCGTTTTACAATACTTACCGACGTCTTTACGTGACTGAAAGGTCGATATCCTCCTGAAGCCGAATATCTAATCCTCCAAGAGTTTGACGATGATCCCACTACAAGTACTAGGAAAGTTGCTGCTGATCTTGGTTTGTCGCCATGCAAGGTTTGGAATATCATGCACCGTGAACGAAAATATCCTTTTCATGGTATCGGCGTACAAGGACTTGAATATGGTGATCCTATTCGCAGAAGCCAATTTTGTCGTTTTCTCTTACATAGTGACATTGAGAATGAACGGTTCCTGGAAAGCATTCTATGGACGGGCGAATCCAATTTTTCAAAGGAGGGCATTACAAATTTTGACAATTTGCATCAATGGGCTGATAAACAGGAAAATGCACCTTGGAAAAAACAGGTGTCTTTCCAGCACAAATTTTCCGTTAATGTATGGGCCGGCGTCATGGGTCAAAGCTTAATCGGTCCTCATTTTTGGCCTGACAGATCAAACGACGTCAGTTGTCTACACTTTTTGCAAAACGATCTTCCCGAATTACCTGTAGGAGTAGAAATTCCAGATGTCATGCAAATTGTTTTCCAACACGACGGATATCCAGCTCATTTCCGTTTAGACGTAAGACAATATTTACACGATACTTTTCCAAATAGATGGATAGACAGAGGTGGACCAATTCCGTGGTCTGCTAGATCCCCCGACTTGACACCATTGGATTGAGCTAAACAGCTAGCTTACACTGAAGAAATCGTATTAAGGTACCATTTAATAAGAAAAATTCGAGAAGTTTTTTATTCAATGCAGCAAGACAGGTTATTAAATATACAACTACTGAAGTAACACGTATAGCTCGAGCACAAATTAGAAACAATGGTCCTCACTTTGAACACCAATAAGGCATGTTCAATAGTTTATTTTGTTTCGTTAAACTAACTTATAATTTAAATTTGAAAATCCGAATATCTCGAAAACCGTAACACTTTGCACTGAGCTATGTTTGGCTTAAAATACTCTAAATGTTCTGCCCTATCCCCTCCCCAAGACTTTGTTGCGACCTTCCAAACACACTGTATAGATACATATCCATGAATTGAAATGAGGCTGAGGTTGGAATAACTTAGGCTCATAGGTCTTAGTTCAGGCTCAAGTAAAGATCCAAAAAGAGGGAGAACCTAAAAAGTCAAGTCTAAGACGACCAGACAAGCTGAAAAGGTTGGCCTTTACCCTATAAGGGTCATGCAAAAATAAGGTTCATGGAAGGAGGTCCACAAATAGGGGTGGCCAAAAGGTTTCAATAAGAGGGTGTCTCCCAATTATATTTTGTTGATTAGGCACAGATATAGTCAGATGATGTTGTTAGCTCTGCGTGATCCGGAGAGAAAATTAAATGTGATGATTCCCAAGCGACTAGACAACGAGTGGGAGGAAGCGGCCACGGAAACTTTCTCACATGTAGGTTTGGTTATGAAGTTCAGCAATTCTACAAGAGATGGGGATGAGTATCGATATGCATACAGAAGGGCGGAATATTCGAATTCACGTGGACGGTGGAACCGTTACAAATTGTATGCTATTTCATCGGTCGCATGATTTTTCTTCATTTTCCTAACTTTGCAATACCTTAAGCTTTCACATATTACATTTCCATTTCCTTTTGCTGTCACTATAAGTGGTGTGATCTCGGTTACACTATGACGAGAAGTCCTATTTGAGGTAGGAAAATATACCTTTTCGACACGGGCATTACGTATCTTGAAAAGTGACATGATGCCGATTTTTTTTACATTGTATTGTTTCTTTGTGAAATTATGTAGGTTTTTCTACAAGACATTAACTTAGCTCTTAATTGTACGTGTTGCCTAATCGTCATGTGGTTATTAGTGTTTGGCTCTGCTGTGATGTGAAATCTGCTTCTGAGATGGCATTACTGGAGGTCTAAGCTGTAAGTTGTATGTGTTGATGAAATTA